ATTTACAAAAACAATTAAACAATTAAACAATTAAAGTTCCTAGTACTTTTTAACGTATGGTACTGTGTAAAATATTTTCTAAAAGCGCCAGGAACTTGAAGATGAAGACTATTTGAATGACCAAAATACAATGTAGCTGCAATGCTTTATGGGTTCGTGCAATTATATAGTTTTTCGTAGATTGACCTGCACGGTTTCCACCAATGAGATCGCTTCATTCGATGTGGACAAGACAGTGTGTTGGCATCTAAGATCCATAACAGATGGCGCATGAAACACGAGAAAACTCGTGAGCGGTACGAAAGGTGTTAATAGTATTACTCCTTCGGGAATGCCGTGTCATAAATTAAAATTGAAAGTGGGTGCAATCATCATGCTATTGAGAAATCTCAATAGTGAATGGGGTCTTTGTAATGGTACCAGATTTATTATCAAAAGATTATGACCTAACATTATTGAAGCTGAAGTGTTAACAGGATCTGCAGAGGGAGAGGCTGTTCTGATTCCAAGAATTAATTTGTACCCATCTGACACTGGCCTCCCATTTAAATTGATTCAACGACGGTTCCCCGTGATGCCAGCATTTGTGATGACTATTAATAAATCACAAGGACAAACTCTAGACAAAGTAGTCATATTCCTACCTGAACCCATTTTCGCACATGGTCAGTTATATGTTGCTTTCTCACGAGTTTGTAGAGCATGTGACGTTACAGTTAAAGTTCTAAATACTTCATCACAAGGGAAATTAGTCAAGCACTCTGAAAGTGTTTTCACTCTTAATGTGGTGTACAGGGAGATATTAGAATAAGTTTAATCACTTTATCAGTCATTGTTTGCATCACTGTTGTTTTATATCATGTTTCTGTTGTTTTCATATTATGTTTTTGTTGTTTCCATATCATGTTTTTGTCGTTTTTATATCATGCCTGTTGTTATATCCTTTTGTTACTGTTTACTTATTAATAAATTTATATATTATTTTCATATATATTTTACTAATGTCCTTTCATCTCTCACACTTCTATTATAGAGAAAGGGCAAATAGCAATATCAAAATATCTCCACTAATTAATTCCCTTTTTTAAAAAAAATATATTTTATTGATTTTTTACAGAGAAGAAGGGAGAGGGATAGAGAGTTAGAAACATTGATGAGAGAGAAACATTGATCAGCTGCCTCCTGCACACTCCTCACTGGGGATGTGCCCACAACCAAGGTACATGCCCTTGACCGGAATCGAACCTGGGACCCTTGAGTCCGCAGGCTGATGCTCTATCCACTGAGCCAAACCAGTTAGGGCAATTAATTCCCTTTTAATGTGCACAAATTTAATGCACCGGGCTACTAGTCTTATCTAATAATAGACAAACATGGTAATTAACCGTACCTCTGACACGCTTCCAATGGGCTAATCAGGGAGATATGCAAATTAACTGCCAACCAAGATGGCGGCCGGCAGCCAGGCAGCTGAAGCGAACAGGAGGCTTGCTTGCTCCAGTGATGGAGGAAGCCAAGGTTCCCCGCCTGCTGCTGTCGGCCTCTGAGCTTCACTCTAAGAAACAATGTTGTGAATATAGAAGCTAAACAAACCCCAGAAACCTGCTTTCTGCCAGTCGGCCTCGGAGCTGGAGCTGAAACAGTGTTTCAATTATAGAAGCCAAACAAACCCAGATACCTGCTTTCAGCAGCCAAGGTCTCAGAGCTGGAGCCGAGCCTCAGAGCTAAAGCCGGCTCTCAGTTCCAGTGACAGCCATAGAAGGTAAATAAATCCCAGAATAAAAAAAAAAAAGAAAAAAGGAGAGGTTGGGAGCTTCAGTCACCCACCAGCCTGAAAACAGCCCTCAGCCCCTCACCCAGACTGGCCAGGCACCCCAGTGGGGACCCCCACCCTGAAGGGGGTGTGACCAGTTGCAAACAGCCATCATCCCCTCATCCAGGCTGGCCATGCACCCAAGCGGGAGCCCCACCCTGATCCGGGACACCTTTCAGGGCAAACCAGCCGGCACCCACCCATTCACCAGGCCTCTATCCTATATAGTAAAAGGGTAATATGCAAACTGACCCTAGCAGCAGAAGGACTGGGAATGACTGGTCACTATGACACACACTGACCACCAGGGGGCAGACGCTCAATGCAGGAGCTGCCCTCTGGTGGTCAGGGTGCTCTCACATGGGAGGAGCTCTGCTCAGCCACAAGCCAGGCTGCCAGTACAGCGATGGTGGTGGGAGTCTCTCCTGCCTCCTCAACAGCACTAAGGATGTCTGACTGCAGTTTAGGCCTGCTCCCTGCTGGCAAGTGGACATCCCCAGAGGGCTGCCAGGCTGCCAGAAGGATGTCTCATTGCCATCTTAGGCCCAATCCCTCGGGGAGTGGGCCTAAGCCAGCAGGTGGTCATCCCCTGAGGGGTCCCAGACTGCGAGAGGGCACAGGCCGGGCTGAGGGACCCCTCCCCCCCGAGTGCACAAATTTTTGTGCACCAGGCCTCTAGTATATAATAAAATCCTAATATGCAAATCAACTGAACGGCAGAACGACCAGCTGCTATGATGTGCACTGACCACCAGGGGGCAGACACTCAATGTAGGAGCTGCCCACAGCCCACAGGCTCCAGGCCAGACAAGCGGGTGCCAATGGGGTGCCAGTTGTCCCACAGATTGGCCCTGATCACTGGCCAGGCCTAGGGACCCTACCCATGCATGAATTTTGTGCACTGGGCCTCTAAATACATCTATATAAATATAGATGTAACCCGCCATTTTCCAGAGCATTATCTCAATTCGTTGAGGTTCTGCTTCCCAGCAATTGTAGACAGTTTGGCTCAAATAAACTCACAAAAATTCTTTACAGGTTTGAATGTTTTTATGTTAACAAGGGCTATATGTGGAGAAACCTCTGATGCATTTGAGGTTAAATCCTTCCTAGTTGGATTCTGGTGTTTCCAATGGTCTGATTTATAAGTAAACCAGAACTATGAGGAATAGAAATGCGGAGGTAAATGAGTGTTTATTTTCTTCAACTCTCATTAATCTTAGCTCCGGTGTTTGTACCAAAGAAATTACTTGTATTTATTCTTATGGCTAAATTGCTAGCAATAAATTAGGAAAGGAAAAAAAAATAACCACATGGGATAATTGACTGAAAAACAAATGTCAGTAAAAGTAAACAGAATGGATTCCACTAAATCTACTTGCAAAAATGTCAGAGGAGTTGAGTTGTTTTCCCTCACAATATTTGTGCTGGTATAAAGTTTAATTAAATTTCTCCATAGAGACTGGGTATTTTGCTAGATGTCACTTTGAGATTTTTCTCAATGAAGGACTGCATTCTGATTAAGTGATGCAACATTTGTCCTCGGTCGTAGATCTATGACAATTGACACCTCTCTTCCCCAACTCTCCCAGGCTACCTAAGCAGCAGGAATGAAGGAGCACTTGCCACTGAACCAGTACTTCTGAGGCTGGACCAGTCCTGCTTTGGTCACTAAGGAGCTGTGACCTTGAGCAAATTCCTTAAGACCTCCAGCATATTAAGTATCAGAGACATCGATTTGCCCGACACATACGTTCAACAGTCAGTTCTGAAAGCCTTCCTGCTCTAGCAGCCTCTGTTGTATTATAATGTTACACAAATACACAGCCAGTGAAATTTAGCAAAATAAATAAGAATTTGGGGAATTTTAGAAACAAACTATTCACTGAGCTGGAGTCATCAGGTAACTGCATATTATTTTAGGATGAGAAATTTTAAAAAGTAATATGTTTGCCTACACTTTTAAGTCTTAAGCTTTCTTTACCTTTAATATCACATTTATTAGACTTATTATGTAAATAGTGCTGATCTTTCTTGATTTTAGTTATATTTCCAAGCTATTTGAGAATGGCCAAGGGTAACTGTTTTCTGCACATATCATTATTTTCTTCTTTTTGGGGGGAATCTTATGAGCTGTTGAAGAAAATGGTAGATAAATTAGCTATTTTTTTTTTTAATAAGGACATTTAGGTTGTTCTTGGGCATCTAGATGAACACACCTTTGAAATTCCAGAGTCATTCTCTGTTCAGACCCCTTTAAGGCATAACCATCTGATAATCCAAGCATGTCAAACTCAAAGGCTAACACGGGCCAAATAAATAAGGTTTAAGTTTATGTACGCCACAAAAAAACCCCAAAAGCTTCAATTTTCATAGAAATGTAGGTTTATTTAGAGACATGCTGAATACAAAGGGCTGAAATAAATGAGTAATTATTAACATAAAATAATAGAACATTTTAATAAAAATCAATATTTTTTCTTGAACATTAATTTACCAGACACAAATTAAGAAGCGCAATGCAAATAAACCTATCTTTCTTGTTCTCCAAAAGCAAGATATTTCCTGTTGCACACATCAAACAAGTCAGTTCAAGACTAATGACGTGGCAATCAGCTGCTAAAATATTTGCTGGTAGTATTAGTGGAGAGAAATGGTGCACCTGTGCGTAAGGCATGTAAGGGAAATGAATGCAACACGATTATAGTAATCAGTCATTAGTGAACATTGTAGTTCGTTATTAATAACTAGAGGCCTGATGCATGAAAATTCATGCAAGAGTAGGCCTTCCTTCCCCCGGCTGCCGGCACCTGCTTCCCTCCAGCACCCTCGACCCAAGCTTCTGTCCTCTTGCTGCTGGCAGGCACCTGGGACCCAAGCTGGCTTCCCCAGGCCACCAGCAGGCAGCTGGGACCCGGCTAGCTTCCCCCAGGCTGCCCGCAGGCACCCAGGACCTGGCTGGCTTCCCTCTGGCCCCTGTTTTGTCAGGAAGGACGTCCGGAATGATGTCTGGAAGACTTCCGGTCTAATTAACATATTGCACTTTTATTATTATAGACTAGAGGCCCAGTACATAAAATTCATGCACTCGGGGGAGGGGGTCCCTCAGCCTGGCCTGCACCCTCTCACAGTCTGGGAGCCCTCAGGGGATGTCCCGGGGGGAGTGAGCCTAAGCCATCAGTCAGACATCCTTAGCGCTGCTGTGGGGGTGGGAGAGGATCCAGCCACTGCTGCTGCACTTGCCAGCCATGAGCTGGGCTTCTGGCTGAGCGACGCTACCCCTGTGGGAGCGCATTGACCACCAGGGGCAGCTCCTGCATTGAGCATCTGCCTTATAGTGACTGGTCGTTATGCTGTTCGGTTGATTTGCATATTAGCCTTTTATTATATAGGATTATGTATAACAGGATATTGTAAAACTTAAGTTATGAAATTTTTATTGAAACATTTTTTACATTTTTCCATACCATTGTATTGGCTGGGCCACAGAAATATTTGTTGTGGGCCTCATGTGGCCCGTGGTCTGCGAGTTTGACATGCTTGATGTAATCATAGAAATCCCTCCCCCTTCCTGTTCCCTGCTGTGCTTTCTCTCACTTTTTTGTAATCTTCCTTAGTTCTCTCCTAAATTCCAAATGCATAAAAGAAAACTGTAAAACTGTCTTTCTCTGGAGCATTTGAAATCTTGCTTCCAGGCATGTCATCTGTTTGGCTCAAATAGACTCAAGTAAATGCTTACAAAAATTCTCCATAGGTTTGGAAGTTCTTATATCAACATTTTCAACATTAGTAATCCCTCAAAAATAAATTAGGCTTTTTTTTCTTGTGATATACCTTTTATGTGGGAGAAAGATAAAAATAGACTTGTGCATGAAAAGAAATTACAGCCTACTTTTTTCAATAAAATACTAAAGAATTCCTTCAGTAATCAAAAGGCAAGTGTGAAATTGCCTTTTGTTTAGTGGGGAAATAAATAGAAACAAGAAAGAATCTCTTTTTAATAAAAACTTAATGGTATGCCCATTCAGCTGCCATGTTGCATGAGCTAAATAGCTGGATTTGTGACATTCAGAAAGCAAAGAAATCATGAACAAAAGTGTAAAGAAAATAATAAGTCTGAAAATTAAACACTTTAGCTTTAAGTCTTGCCAGTGGATCTTCTAAAACTGCAAGCTGCATATTTGTGTTGTAAACAATCGTGGTGTTTGTACCTATTCTCATTTTTAAACTAAATATATAACAACAATGGAGCTCAATTAAAAACAGATTAACCACATAGATATGTATAATTGATTATGGTAGATTTTTGCCGGAAGCCAGTCCATCCTTGCTGCTTGACACAGTCGCTGCAGGAAAGAAACATCTGCACAGCATATGTTTCAAGGGACCTGGCATATATAGCATATTGTTCTTAATATGTTTGCTCTCCTTAGCGCCATGTGTTTTAACCAAGGTCACCTCTCCGAGAACAGTTGTTTCCCCAGGTGGGGATTTTCCCTGAGGTTAGGGAGGGGATACAACCCCTTAACTAAGTGCCAGGCGGGTAGTTAATCACTTTAACTACAAACAATCACGCTTAAGCTACATAATCTTTACTCCCTGGAATGGAGATAAGAAACGCCCTAACCTTTGCAATAGAAATTGACAGGATTAAAATCGACTGGTATAAATACAGATGTAACAAGACAATAATCATCAGATCCTGACCAGATCCTAACCAGAACTTTGGCTGGAGATCCTGGCTAGAGGTCCTGACTAGGCTGCTGATCAACTGAAGGCTGTCTCCGTGTCATTCCTTCTTCGTCGGCTCCGTCCACACCTTTGGGAACCCCTGGACCCGCTGGGGTTGGACCCCAGCAGATTTTGCTTTGCTAAATCCACCTAGATTTTCCCTAAGGAGGCATACCATTTTATCCACTTGGATAAAAAGGGGCTCTATAATAAATCTAACTAAAAGTAACTTAAAGGGTAATTTGATCCTAAATCCCTATCTGA